TAAAATCAATGTATATGGGGAGGGAAAATATGTGTGCAAAAAGAGGAATAAATCAACAATATAATATTAATTACATGATAAGAACAAGCTACACATCCATATTCTAGAAAGTTTCATACCTATCAAAGTTGAATAATCCAAAATATTTTATCAAAAAAATATAGGAAATAAATTTCATAAAATCAATGTATATAGGGAGGCAAAATATGTGTGGGAAAAGAGGAATAAATCAACAATATACTATAGTTTTTTTTTCTTGGGGTTATTTTTGTTGTTAATAGAGATTTTCTTTTTTCAACAGCCTATAGCTTGGAGACTTTTTTGTTAGTAAACTATAGTTTATGTCGAGACTTTTTTGTCAATAGCCTGGATTTTGTGTTGGGACTTTCTCTGGCAGCGTTTTTTCAAATTCTTTTTTTTTAACAGTATTCTTAGTTTTTTCATCGTACTAGCAAGCTGAGAAAAGAATACTCAAAATGTTTGAGAAAAAACCAATTTATCTATGATGTTGTTTATTTCAATTTTCAAATATGTACGTAGACGACTTGTTGGCAAGCCTTTTATGAGGTTACTAAAACTAAACATCTAAAAAGTAGCTAACTCTATATTGTTCATTTATTTAGATTATTATGACTTGCCATCTTCCTATTATTTGAAAAATCATAAGTTGGAAGAAAACCATGCAAATCCTTCATACGTACATAGTGGTAATAGAAAATAGAAAAAACACATATATAGTATTGTAATTGAAACATTGGAGGTAAATGTGACATTGACTTTCAATCTGCCTTGAAACTTTTCTGTAGGAAAGAACTTAATGGATGGGCCTATTAATTTGGAAGAAGGAAACCCACTGATAAGTTTCAGCAGGATGCACAATATCTATACCAAAGGGTGTGAATCTAAAATAAGCAAATGAGCCAATTTCTTTTTATCACGTGGCAGTTTTTATGACAAAAAAAAAACATATATATAGAAGGAAAAGAAAGATAATCCAAGCTTGATTACCTAGAATTTGAACATGAGGAGCTCAAAAAAGGCTCAGAGAATTTTGCAATGACTTTTTTTGAGAATGGAGTTAGGCATTGGTTTGCCGATGAACAAAATTAGCAACTCATGCATGATGAACCTCTAATTACTCTATTTACCGATACAATGCCCTAAAAATAAACAAAATTAACAGTGAAATTTCTCGAAATTCATGCTGAAACTGGAGTTTAGAAACATAAATGAGATTGAGATTGAGCTACTAATAAGTGCAAAAATCACTTCTAGTCTAATCGCGAATTCAATGCTAGGAAAGGGAGAGAGGTTAATCGATCGAAATGGTGGATTTCGATTTTAGGGAGAGAAAGGGACAAAGTCAAGTGGAAGTTGGGGTTGATTTAATTTTGAATGAAGTGAGTGATAAGGAAGAGAGAAATGAGGATGTTGTCCTTTTTTTTGTTTTTTAAAGTTTTCGCTATTTACTTTTTGGGGATAATTTCACAAACCTCCCTTGAGTTTTCTGACTCTTGCACTAATACCCGCGAGGTTTTAAAATTTTTACTGACCACCCCTGGCAAAAATTTGAGACTTTGCTTACATCATGATGGTTGAAATTACCACTTTGTCCTATGAAGTTGGGGCTTATTACTAACTAGCGTAAATGCATCAACAATCTGAACTTCGTCATCATTAGTACTACCAATAATCTCAGCATGTGGTTTTGAGTAGCCACTCAAACTACTTGTTAGTTATGTTTAGCTTAATGTCTTTTGTATTTGGTGGTGCTGTAAAGTTCACTGATTTCTTGACTATAAGTACTTTTGAAAATGGCTCCTAACAGTCTTTTAGAATTGTGGAGTTGCAATCCTCATTATCTGCATCTACTGTTTATTGTAGATGGTGTTTTGTATTATTGGATTGCACTAATGGGTATGTGGATCTACTACTGATATGCTTAAGGCATTTTAGCTAATGTAATATCCCTTTTAGCGTCTTCAATATGCCTTATCATTTCCTCCATCATAGATAACTGGTTGCTAGCTTGACATACTACTCTTCTTACTACATATCTAGGTGCATGATTGAGTCAAATAATGTAGCCATTTATTCCTTCATACTTAAGTTATACTGCTGCATACGTGGGTTTACATTGGTTTATGATGAATTCCAACTGACATAGCCTTCTAGTTTGAATTGCCTGTCACTAAAAAGGCACAATACAGTTGGTACAATGTTGCGGTAGATTTGCATGAGTTTATCCAATTGATTTTACATTTTCAATGAACATAAATATAGCTAACAATATGAAGTTGATGATGAGCAGCATGTTCCCTAAGACTCCCAATTGTGAAAATTGTCCTTTCGCTCTGTATATTGCGGTTGCTTTTTTTGCTGTTAATTTCTTCTTCTTCACCTCCGTCATACCATTTGAAATACTTGCACTTTGAACAACAAAAATACAACTTGTCCAGATTTTTTTTACTCTCAAATATCTTCACTGTTGCTTTGTGATTACGATAGCAATATCTATTTTTAATGGTGAAAGATGTTGATGAATTCCATGATTCTCCCTTATGGCTTGAAGAGGCCATAATTTCTACTAAATGTTTTCACTATGAACTCTAAATGTAGTACAAAACAATAACTTTGTATGCACCCCACATCTTGCTACGTACTCACAGTCATAATCTTGAGGGTAGGCAGTTGTGATGTTTATATACATTGCTAAATAAAAAATCTAGCCATTGGAACTTGCATTAGCCATTGCTATGGCTGTTAAAACACTTCTTATGTTTCCATGTTGTGCTTGAAAGTTTCTATATTACATTTACACCCTCTCAACTTTACTAATCATTTCAACCTTTTAAAGATTTTCAATCTTCTACTAATACAAGGACCAAAAGGGCATTCATGGAATAAAAATATCATCTCACTCATGAAAATAATATTTTAATGCTATTTGGATTGAATTGTTACCAATATCTCAAAAGCAAGGGTGGTTAATAAAATTTTAAAAACCTCAAGGGGGGTCAGTGCAAGTGTCAAAAACATCAGGGGAGGTTTGTGAAATTATCCCTATTTTTTTAAGTGAACTTTCCAATTGTTCCGCATTTTCTAAGTTTTCAACATTTATTTTTTAAGTAACATTCCAATTGGAGAAATTCTAACAACATTATGAGTTGTCACGGGAGAAAAATTACTATTTCTTTTATTTTTGCGTTAGAAACATGGAAAATTACTAAGTGACAATATTCAGTTTTTTTTGGTCACTGCATTCAGGAATAGTATTATTGACAATATATTTTGACAACAATATAAGTTATCATAAATAGATAGTATTATGTGACAATAAACTATATTTTTAATAAATTTAATTTATTTATGACAAAATTAGATGCTGTCATTGTGTTGTGACTGAAAACCTTATTTCTTGTAGTATTAACCTAATCTACTTAGATCACTTTTTCTTTAATTTCACCTCATGTAAAATGACATTAGCCCTCGTCTACAAAAATTTGGGAAAGTTTCAACTCATCATCTTTTGAACAACATATTTCTGAAACAAGTGAATAAGAAACAAGTAGATCTTATTCGCGAAACCATGTCCAAATTCATGGCACATATTTATCTGGTAGGGACACGGACACATTTAGGTCTACTAAATTCTTAAAATGTTATTCCAAATAAAAAAAGGAAAATATTATTATTGCGCATGTATGTGTGTGCACGAAGATGTGCAAAGAATAGTTTACTAATATTTTCCCAAAGCAAGAGTGGATAAAAATGTGCATATACATGTACAAATGAATGAATATTAAGAAGCACATGAGAAACTATGTTGGGTCATAATTGGGTCTATAGTTTTGAATTAACCCAACTTGACCAACCCAATGTTAATCCATTTAATAGTTGGGCAGATTTAATTATAATTTATTTAATCAAAATCCATTTCCCATCCTTTTTTTTTTTTTTGTGTAAGTAGAAAGTCTCGAACTTGAAACCTCTCCCTCCCACCGTACCACCAATCCATTTTCAACCTATAATAACATATATAAGCGAATGCATTACAATATCTAAAACCAAATGGATCCTCAGAAATTTCCTCCAAAGAGCCTTCCCAAATCCCCGACTAACAGATTCCTATTACTAATTTATCAAAAACTCGACGAACTTATAATCCTTGGAATGTGCTAGTTAGAACCAATAAAGTTTTGATTTATAATCTAAACTCTTTTTTTTTTTAATAAATCTAAACTTGAATGTCCAATCATGATTTTAGAAATGACCAATCATAAAAACATCAACTAAACAAAACGTTCACTTTCATTCACACCCGTTAACCAATGGATACGCCCGCTAAAAGTGTCCCATGGGGGAGCCTGAGAAACCCTTCGGTCAAACTGTAATCCAAAGCCCAAAATATAGTATATTTTGCTCTTAAGACCCTAAGTTAGGAAAAAGCTATGCAAATCCTTAATAGGTACACAGTGTTAATAGAAAATTAGAAAAAACATATATAGTATTGCCAATTGAAAAATTGGAGGTAAATGTGACACTAGTTTCAATTTGCCTTCAAACTTTTCTGCAGGGAAAAACTTAATGGATAGGCCTGTTACTTCGGAAGAAGGAAACTCACAGACAAGTTTCAGCACAATGCACAATATCTATACCAATGGATGTGAATGAGTCAATTTCTTTCTAGTATGTGGCAGTTTTTGCTGATTAGAACAACTAATCTGAATGATTTCATGTTTGTAGGTGTGGTAACAAGTTTTCCAAAGAATGAGAAATCTAAAATACTAGATTTCAAGCACTGGTTAGAAAGTATAAGTAAATTAGCATTTTCTGAACTTCAAACTGTGCCCTGTTTTATACATACTGAAGAAGATAGAAAGTAGATGAAACTTAAGCAAAAGTGAATCAGTGGAGATGAAACTTAAGCAAAAGTGAATCAGTCTAGTCATGCTTCTAGTTCTAATCATACTGAGACTACCTAGCCATACTTACACCAGGAATGACCCACATTGGCAACAATTTGTCAATGTGGACAACAGGAGGAGTGGCTGTCAATTTTTTAACTACGGTAGTGGCACTCTTGGAGAGCTCACCAGCTTTGAGTCTCACCACTTCTTTTGGTGAAAATGACAATGCCATACATGGTTGCTGCGGCAACCACACAAATTGCCATAGCCCCAAGTGAGTATAGTTTAGATTTGTTCCCAGTTGAATAAGTACAGTTCAGATTGTCCTCTTGTAATATTACTTGAAAGAATAATATGTTGGGTATAAAATACAAATGATTGCATTGCCAGTAAGTGTATTTAAACCTGGTCATATGCCACTTGGGAGTACCACATCACATGGACTATTAGAGCCTCAACTCACAAAGATGGAAATAACCTTAGGGATGTGGATAGCAAATGTGGTGGGAATCATAACACTACTAGGGTGGGGGTTGTGGTGGTGGAATTATTTTCGATTTGCTCTGCCGGTTACTTTCTGGCGTTTTGGAGGCAGAACCACGACGAAGCTTCCTCCTGGCCACATGGGGATTCCATTTTTTGGAGAAATGCTTCATTTTCTTTGGTATTTTCAGGTTATCCTTCGGCCTGATGACTTCATTAACAATAAAAGAGACAAGTAAGGTTTTTCTCCATGCTTGAGTTTTATTCCTTTCTTGTTCCATTTTATTACTAGTAACTTCGGTTGCACAATTGCCCCTTATTGCTACATACACGGCGGCCATTGGCCCAAGTTCATGGCATTTGGCTGTAGCAATTTCTGCAACATCTTGTAGACAATTGCAAGTCTACTTCCTCAAGTGCAAGTTCTCCACACGTTAGTTATGTGTCTTCTGATGAATTGAACTTAAAAAGGATCAATCTCACTGTCAAATTATTGTAGTGTAAATGAAATTTGGAATATGAAACGAATGCCACAATAATAGCTAACAACTAATATTTTGATGGATCTCTGATATTCATTTTAATTGAAGAGCATGGTTTAAAATTATCCTCAATATTTTTGAACCTAGAAATGTGAATGTTGTAGACATGTATTGATGGGGGGATTATTTTCTGCAAGAAAACATATTTCTCTTAAAACATTTCATAAACATTAGCATTTTTCTTAAGTTTTCAGGTCATGACACGTTCCTTCCCTTAATACAGTATAAAAGAAGAGTTTATATGCAGTCTAATCAAATCACATAAAAATCCCTAATGCTTCAACTTTATCAGCTGATGGTGCTTTGTGGTAAAGATTTTCACTCAAAAAAGGAATGGAGGGAGCTAAAAGTTTACCAGAAATTGCAACATTGCAGTCTAATCAAATCGCATAAAAATTCATACTGCCCTCAACTTGTTTAGCTGGTGGTGTTTTGTGGTAAAGATTTTGACTCAACATGTCATTTAGCATGCTTGAAAACTGTCTACAATCATAAATTTCTAATCAAATTAACAATAAATGTGAAGGACTAGGACAGGATAATTTATAAATTTGATGGGAGCTACTGCTGTAATTTTGCCTACAAATAGGCAGGTAAAGGTAATGTCATGCCACTCTAAAACAAAGTTATTGAACCCAGTCTGTCTAAGCAGTTCGAGCAGCTAATCCGGTGAACTCGCTATTTAACTAGGTTGGATTGATAGTTGGAGAGGATAATAAAGATTTCTATTGATAAGTCATTAACCCGTCGCTTCAATTGGTGAACACTGAAGCTTAATGGATTTAATCACCAGTTCAATAATTATATTTTCTTAACAATTATATTATTTCATTATATTATGACCCACTAGTTCAACCAATTAACTCGTGATTAAACCCTTGAACCAATCTAGTTACCAGGCTGAGGACCAGGCCGGATTTAATTATTATGCTCTAACATGTTCCGAAATAATGAATTGAATAAATTGTAGCGTTTGAATAGATGAAGATCATAATTATTTTATGCTCCAAAAATATATTTGAGTTATTGGTGACAAGAGAATTGATTAAACAAACTATATTCATTTTGTCAAAATTGATGTTGCCTAACCTGTTTTGAGAAATTGATGTTGTCACCGTGTGCTCATGTCAAATCCACAAGTTGTCGATTAAGTGCGAGGTGAATTGACATTTCTTCTGCCTAGCACAGTATTTCGACTTGTTGGTTACAAATTGTTAAACAATAAGCTTTCCACCAAAAAAAAAAGCTACAAATTGACTTCATCAGCTGTACAATAAAATTAATTAGAATTAACAAGATGCTTCCGAATTAACCATTTAAATCAGATATGGTGATGGAGAAGGATTGTACAAAAGCCATCTCTTTGGTTCACCCTCTATAATTGCATCCTCTCCATCAGCTAACAAATTCATCCTTCAATCGGATGCAAACTTTGGCATGGGATGGCCTGCCACTCAAATTATAGGCAACAATTCCCTTCTTTTCCTCCAAGGATCATCACATGCAAGGATTAGAGGCTTAGTTGTGAAGGCCATTAATCAACCTGATGCCCTCCGCAAGATAGCCGTTATGGTCCAACCAAGAATAGTTGCAGCCCTTCGACTATGGTCAGAGAAAGGGAGAATTGTAGCATTGCAAGAAGCTAAGAAGGTAGACTAATATACGTATAAAAAATCTAGATCTATATAAAATTTTCTTGATGCAAGTTATCATACTAATTTCAACTTTCATGAAATCTCTCTAGGCCATCATTTTCCTTATTTTTCATTATTTTTTCACTGTCCTTGAAGGTTACTTTTGAAAATATTGGGAAGTACTTTTGCGGGTTCGAGCCAGGACCCCATTTGGATACACTTGATCAGCTATTTGCGGGTATGATCAAAGGAGTTAGAAGTCAACCAATTAAGATTCCAGGGACTGCTTATCATCACGCCCTCCAGGCTAGCAAATTTACTCTTAAGCTAAAATAGTACAAAAATGAGTAAATTCCCTTTATGGGAGGTTTTTAATTTCTAGAGTTCCAATTCTTGTATGAGCTAGACTTGAATTCCAATGACTAATCACAAATTTGCCATTCCACAGTGTCGGAAGAAGGTCATGACAATTTTGACCAAGGAGATAAATAAGAGAAAGTTTGAAGGCAATGCTGCAAGAGCTGAGTTTGATTTGTTGGACCAACTCTTGAACCTAAAAGATGACGATGGTCACCAATTACAAGATGAAGGGGTGCTTGATAACATTGTAGGCCTAATAATTGCTGGCTACGAATCCACTTCACTTTCAATTATGTGGATTTTGTATTATCTCGCCAAGTACCCTAATGTACTAAAAAAGCTACGGGTATAAGTAACTTCCAAACTCTAGCTAGATGACAACCAAAGATGAACTTCTTTACTTGTTCTTGATTACATTTATATATGTTTCCTTTTTCATGACTCTAAATCGAATGAATTGTAGGAGGAGCACATGAATGTTGGTACAAATGGTGATTTCATAACACGTGATGACATTCTGAAATTGCAGTACACAAACAAGGTATATCTGCACCAAGATTATATGACGGAGATTAGTTAGGAAATGCTAATACTATTATTAATTTGTTAAAGGTTCGTCTATTTGGTGTCCTCTAAGGTAACAGACTAAGAAGTAGGTCTATTTTTTTTTTATAAATGTAGAAGAGTAAATTTTGTTGAAAAGTGTTGCAATTAAGGGAATGATTAGTAATTTTAAAGGTTTAATACTGCCCCCAAACTTCTTTTTTTTTTTTTTGTGCTTAGCTAGTTCCTTAAGAACACCAAATAGAAAAAAGAAAGAAAAAAACATTTACAGTAACATAGTAGTCGTGTGCCTTCTTGAAAATCTCATCATTTGTGGAGGATGCAGATGGTGGCGATGATGCATCTTGTTTTATAGGAACGTATTTTATAGATCCAACTTATCCCTTTATCATATAGTCAAAATTTATATATACCATCAGTTACTTGACATGGTACTTTATTTTTGTTTGATACCACATAAACAATTATGTGGCTAAGCATTCATAGGCAAATAGTTACTGTACGTATTCCTATGCATTTTCTTGTGTATTATTGCTTCATTGCCTAATTTACTCATATTTACAAGCAGGTTGTGGAAGAAACAATAAGACTAGCCAATGTATCAGCATTTGTTTTCAGGACAGCTAAGAGGGATGTTGAGTACAAAGGTAAAAGCACTCCATTTCTTTTAGTATACAGAATAGAAGTACTTAGGATGCGCATGTAGGAGGGATGCAGCTCGTCTTCCTCTGCCTAAAAACTGTTGAAACTCTTTCTTACAGGATACAAAATACCTAAAGGATGGAAAGTAATCTGCTGGCTACGATACATTCATACAGATCCAAAAAATTTTGAAGATCCATTGTGTTTCAATCCAGATAGATGGAACGTAAGCACAAATATTATTTGCACCTGTATTGAGAAGACGAATTTTGGGTTATGCATTGATCAACTGTTAGATATTTCCTTGATCAGGAACAACCAAAGCCTGGGACATTCTTGGTCTTCGGTGGGGGTTCAAAGATTTGTCCAGGAAATATGCTTGCTCGAATGCAGGTTGCTATTTTTATCCACCATCTGGTTGTAGGATACAGGTGAAATTTCTAAGTGTCACTGTACCCTTTTTTTTTTTTTTTTTGGAGTCAAATCTTTTATTCACTACTTGTGTATCTATTAACAAATTTAGATACATGCTCCATATACAAAATTTGGTATTCATATTGAAATTGAAATAAACCAATATACATCCAAATCCGTCAGTATATACACTGAAGGTGTATGAAAGATTAATCTTTTTTTTTTTTTGAGAACACCAACTTTTTCTTTCTTTCCAAAGGAGAAAGAGAAAAGCGTAAATTCAAAATCCAGGAATTATTATTTATTAAGAAAATAAAGTCTCACAATAGTGTAACTTTGTTTGCTTATATCATATTCATATACTTATGAACAAATTTTCAGGTGGGAACTAGTCAATGAAGATGCAGAAATGAGTTATCTCCCACATCCAAGACCAATTGATGGGGTTGAGATTAACATAAGCAGAACCTAATAGCAAAAGAAGCCCGCTGTTCTATTTTGTGCTTCATGATCTTGTTTGGAGTTTTCAGCCTTAATAAGTCTCTTTTAAGAAGTCATCACGTTTGCAGGCCCTTTTCTTCTTCTTTCTTTTTTCTTTTTCGGGTACATTTTATGTTGATCTAGCAAAATCATAGTAGTTACTAGAGTGTAATAACTACTTGCAACAAGTTTGAAACTTATTCATCTAATATATGGTATATCTATGTAATAAGTTTGTTAAGTTTAGGGATGGCAACGGGGCGGGGTTGGGGCGGGGGACCCCTCCCCCGTCCCCCGCTCCGTTGCCTATTAGTTCCCCCCGTCCCCCGCCCCGCCCCGCCCCGCCCCCGTCCCGCCTTCCCCCGCTTCCCCCGCGGGGTTAATCAAATTTTATTATATAATTTTATTATAATTAAATTTTAATAAATAATCAAGTACTAAAATATCAACACATCACCAAATTATTATTCATTGTAATTTTACAATTGAAACTCATAAAAACAATCAAACAGAAGTTATTTGAATACAATCCAATATGATGAAATAAATATAACTAAAATAGTCAAATTTTCACTTTTAGTACAAATGCAATCACTAATTCATCATTGTGTTTGTACTTTTTTTTTGAGAAAAAAGTGTTATTCTATTAAGTGTAATTAGAAATTTAGTATAAATGTATTAGTAAATTTAGTATAACTAATTAATAAATTCTATTAGTAGACATGTATAATTATTCATATAATTGATAATATCAATTATATTACATAAACTAATATACATTATATAATACATCTAACTAATAATATCATTATCATAAGTTTATAACTAATTAACTTACATATAATATATAGTCATTTATATATATATATATATATATTTTATATATATATACTTTTTTTTTTGCGGGTGGCGGGGCGGGGGAGTATACCCCCGCCCCGTTTCTATGCGGGGGGAAAAAATTCCCCCCCGCCCCCGCCCCACCCCCCGCGGGCACCCGCCCCCATTGCCATCCCTAGTTAAGTTGATTGTCCAAAGTAAATGTTTAGTTAGAAAATTATTGGGACACTGGGGGTCTGTTTGGATTGTAAGTTATTTGGGATTATTTGGGATATTTTTACTGTAGCACTTTTTGTGATGTGATGTATGTGAGATGAAAAGATATTGGGAAGATAAAAATGTGTATTGAAAATTGTAAAGATGATGTAAGCAAATAAAATTGGGGAAATATGAAGCAATCCAAACAAACCAATGTTCCGCCCGTGGCACCAAGCTTCCTCCTGACCATATGGGACTTCCATTTATTGGGATGACTACATTAATGCTAAAAAAGAAAAGTAAGATTAATTTGCTCTTTCTTTCCACTTAAAAACACATAAAACATCAAGCACAAATGCCATATACAACCACGTTGATGAGCCTAATTAAGGTATATACACGTAAGGATTTTGTTTAAATTATGGAACTTGTACATTTAATTCAATTCCAAAATTATAGGATGATTTAGGTGCCCATTTTATTTTATTTTTTTAAAACAAATCATTTCCCTTGTGGTTTGGTTAACAATCATGGAACCCCCTATCATTCAGGAACACCCAAATAAATTCTTTGTGCTTTGGACTGATGTGGAATGTGGCCAGAAATCATTCAAATTGATGAAATTCAATGATAAAATGTCAAAGTCAAATTGATAAATTGACAAATTCACCCTTTCACTACTTGTTTTTTTTTCTTTTTTCCTTTCTCTCTCTCTCTCTCTCTCTCTCTCTCTCTCTCTGGGAAAAGAAGAGATTATTTGAAAACTTATATTTTGGCCTACAAAATCTTAATTTTCCCCAAATGCAAAAGAGATAGAAGGAAAATAAAAAATAAATAAATAAGAAACAAAAAATTCCAAATCTTTTCTGACTACAAATATCATTATAAGTTTTTTACCCAAATCTTTTATGGTATTTAGTAGTTCTTATTTATCAATTTTTATATTTCAATTTCTTCTTTTTTATTTTTGGAGGAAAAAAAGAAGTAATGAAAGGGTACATTTATCAATTTATTAGTTTGACTTTAATTTTTTTACTATTAATCTTTAGTTTTAGCCAAAAAATTAACGATGACACATTAATCCAAATCACGAGAGAGTTATATATATATATATATATATATTTAAACCATAGGAGCATTTTGTGGTAAAACACCAAATCACAATAGGGTAAAAGGTAATGTACCCAACAATAAACAATGGTCCACCATCTATTTTTCAACTATTACCATATTCGTATCCATCACATAGCTTTCTCGTGCCTTGTCAATTACTTTCTCTAATTGAATTGATTTATTTATTGCATCAATATCACAAATTCATACATTAAATCATCCCATTTTGAAGATGTACATTATTCTTTTTTATGTTTGTAAAAGTATTTTTCTTCGACATATTATTGGTCCTGACATTCCATTTCAAAAAAGCATAAAAAAATAGGTTACACTGTACTTGCTTCAGAGTGCAGGCCTAGTTCATTTGATTCACGCCACAATCAAAAGAGAAGGAAACATTGGACTTGGTTTAATCTTGATCGATAATTTATAATTTTTTTTAGATATTTTCCCACCAATATTCACCCATTCAGTCCATGCGCCACACATAGACTAAGCCTATTCTCTAAAGAAATAAAAAATCTTACTGAAAAATAATATATACATTTCAGTTTTTGTTTCACGCACGTTTTTATATCGTAAAAAAAGAGTCTTTTGAACTATTGAAAAAAAAAAAACAAAAGAGAAAGTGTATGAACCCAAAAAGAGAAATTGTTTTGTCAACCACACTTAAAAATATGAAATAAAAGGAACCTTCAGAAAGACTATACATTTCTTATTAAATGTTTTGGAAATCCTTTTTTAATCAAATATTACATGTATTTAAAATTTTTCGGAGGGAGGGATGAACTGGGTGGTTCGAAGAGATAAAATGTAAGTGAGCGGTCTCGAATTCGAACCCTTCCACTTACACTATTAAAATAAATAATATTTATAGTTTTCAAGAAACTGGGCATACAAAATAAATTCTTTAAACATTCTATATTTATATTCAATTCTTATTAATTCTTTATATTTTAACAGGGGGTTTGATCTGCCAGAGATTTGATAAGTCAAACAATACAGGTAACAAGGTGAATTCTTAAGTTACCTTCTTTGCTTCTTCATATGCTACGATTCTGCCCCTCTGTGCCCAGGATCGGAGGGCACTGACGATGCGGGGCTGGACCATCACCATAAGGGCCACCCTGTGGGGAGCATCAGGCTTATTGATGGCTTTTACCACACTTAAAGATTCTGAGTCTAGCGTGTTCTGCACCTTGATTGGCCCAGTGGCATTAAGTCTTTCTTTGGGCAGTAGGTGAGGGTTGTTCAAACCTCACCTGTAGCGAAAGAAAACAATCTAAGGGTTGTGTCATATCACTCCCTTGGTCTAGTTGGGTCTGTATACCCATTAACCCCTATCACAACCTCCTTAGACTCCCCCTCCCCCCTAAATTAGGATAAAGTAGATTATACAAATGTATCGTTGCTGACAAAAAAAAAAAAAAAAAAATCTGCACCTGGAGATCCTATAATGGAATCAGTGCCTAAAAGTTCAGCAAAAAGCCATTGTTGGCATAATAGAGCAGGTGCACCAAAGAGGTGAGTTCTGAACATTCCTGCATCGCCATACCTGATAATATCACATTATTCAAGCGAAATTTTGTTAATTACAGCTTCATCGAGGCGAGTCAAAGTTATTTCCATTTTGAGACTGTTTCGACTTTAGCTTTGATTTAACAAAAAATAAAATAAAATAAAAATACGAGCATAGTCAATTAAATTCGAGTTGTTGTAACAAAATGAGTAAAAAATAAAAAAAAAATCTGACGGCATTCCCCTCCCATTATCTGAAAGAGCATACCCATTATCGGACACTTTTGAAGTGGAACAATAAGTGTTGCGAATTTGCAAGAAATGAGGAGAAATGGGAATCGAGAAAAAGTTTGTCAAGTTTAGCTATCAAATTTGATGAAGATAAGGAGAAGGAAAGTATTCTGTTACATTCATAGCAATGCACAGAAATGGAAAGACACAAATGTTACCAAACGGAACCTAAGTTAATAGGAAAGAATAATATGTCTCCCCATGTCTTATCTCACCACCTAATCCACTTACATCACTCAATTAAATTAACTAAACCCAAAACAGCAATTACTTAATCCACCGCATTTTGGGCTACATTGCGGATCTTGGGAAAAAAAAAACTTTTTAACTAATAATTGCAATAGGCCCAGCCCAAATACAAACACTAAAATGAGTTTTACAGTAAGGGGAAAATGATCGTTTCATCCTTCACATTTCACAAAAATATTCTTTTCGTTCCTCACTTTTAAAATGAAATAATTTCATCCTTGACATTTAAAAACTGAAATTATTACATCCCTGAAGCCAAATTTCAATCTGAATCAAACTACCAATCAACCTGATTACAAATTTTTGGGGTGTAATTGGTAGATCACTTGGGTTAACTCAACTTGATATTCTTGTGAAATTTAATAAATCTAAAAATAAAAAATAAAAGATTATAACATTAAAAAAAAAGATTAATATTTTCTACATTATCATTGTATACACAGATGGTTTTATATACCGCCATATCATTTTAATTTAAATTTAAACACCAAATTTTATATTTATGATACACATCTAGATTCGCAAGCGGATATACTAACGGTGCATGAAAAGATTTATCAAAAAAAAAACTCTACTATTCCAAGACAAAGAATGGCCTTTTATGTTATAATTTTTATTTTTTTGGTTTAATAAATGTCATGTGAATATGATAAAATTGATCGAATGATCTATCAATTCTATTTTCGAAATTTATTACTGGATTATTTAATGATTTGATTCAGATTGAAAATTAGGTTCAGGAATGTAATAACTTTAATTTTTAAATGTCAGAGACGAATTTGCTTCATTTTAAAAGTGAGGGACGAAAAAAATATTTTTATGAAATGTGAGGGATGAAACAGGTCATTGACCCAAGATGGGCTAGCTACTGAAACTTCCTTTGTAAAGCAATATTGCTAAAAAGAGCAA